GAGGCTCATCTTGCCAGGCTCTTCCCGACGTTATCATATTTAATGGGTGATTACTCCCAGGGGCGCCGCTGTGTTCACCTCCCGGGGTCACCAACACACTAACTCCTCTTAACATCTGGGTCAAAGTATTCGGGTCATATAGTGATTAGTCCCTCTAGATTATTTAGTCTGATGATTAAACACCCAAACGCTAACCTAACTTAACCAAACCTAATCTAATCTAAGGCAAACCTAACTTAACCTAACCAAGTACCCCGCATAGAACCTCCACCTAGTAACCCAGTATCACTCCAACGCTGCTTAAAAGGGTGGGGTGGGGGGGGTGGGGGCGGTAGATCACAGGAAGGGAGGGGAGAACTGATACTCTCACATGATTACATTACCGCAAACTGATGGATCTAAGCAGAGGATGAGGAGGGAGCGACGGTGTACCATGTTCCCGTTAATTACACGCTTTGGGATGAACCGCCTCGACGTCTACACGGATATTATGGGCTCTATCGTGTGGGCGTAGGCGGGCGTGAGTGCGTAGGTGGGCGTGAGTGGGTAGGTGGGAGAGCAAGGGTAGGTGGACGAGAGCGGGTAGGTGGGCGAGCGTGGGTAGGTAGGTGGGCGAGCGTGGGTGGGTAGGTGGACCAGAGCGGGTAGGTGGACGAGAGCGGGTAGGTGGGCGAGCGTGGGTGGGTAGGTGGGCGAGCGTGGGTAGGGGTGAGCGAGCGTGGGTGGGTGGGGGTGGGCGAGCGTGGGTAGTAGATGGGCGAGCGTGGGTAGGTAGGTGGGCGAGCGTGGGTAGGTAGGTGGGCGAGCGGGTAATTATCACAGGTTTTAACTAACATTATCAACACTAAATTATTTCCCCGGGGATCTATTTGTAAGCGATAATCTTTCAAGGGTTTAATAATGTTAGATTTTATTTGTCTATTATTAAAATATTATTGTTAGTTGTCTTTTGTTTCTATCCACTAACCTGTAATACTCTTCTCCCTTCTCTATCTCCCCCCTTCCCTCTCATCCCTACCATATTCCTCTTCTCCTACTTCTCCCTCTTCCCTCCCACCTCCAACCCCTTTCTTTCATCCCTCCTTCGTCTCTCTTATGCCGATCTCCCTCTTTCCTATCTTATCCTTCCCTCTCACCTCCCCCTCCTTTCTCTCATCCTACTTATACCTCACTCCCTCTTCCCTCTCATCCCTACTTTAACCCTCCTTCCTCCCTCTCATCTCTCCCTCCTTCCTCTTATCCTTCTAATCCCTAGCTCTCCATCTTAAATCCCTCCATCTGCCCTCAATTCCTCTCTCCCTCCCAAACTTCTCCTCTCCCCTTCCTACTTTCTCCTCCCTCCTCCCACACACACCCCTCTCCTCCTTCCTCCCTCTCCCCGCACACCTTCGCACCTCCCCTCCTCATTTCCCTTCTCCCTCCTCCATCACACCCCAATCACCTCTCTACCTCCTTCTTCCCCCTCCTTCTCCTTTTCCCCCTCTCCTGTCTCCCACACACCTAAGGACCTCCCACTCTTTCCTGCCTCTCCCCGTCCAACACACCTCCTTCACCCTCTCCCTTCTCCAACACGCCTCCTTCACCCTCTCCCTCCTCCAACACACCTCCTTCACCCTCTCCCTCCTCCAACACGCCTCCCCCCCCTCTCCACCAACACACCTACGCACCTCACCTCCCCCTGGGCACCAATCCTGCGTAGTATTGATTCCAGGATGAACAAGGCTCCTGATTTCCGTGATGGTTCCCCCTTCAGGATTATCGCCACCTTCTCTCTCCCTCCATGACGGATGATTGTCTATCCTCCGTTCATGGTGTTAAGAGAGGTGTCGAACTTATTCATGGTGTTAAGAGAGGTGTCGAACTTATTCATGGTGTTAAGAGAGGTGTCGAACTTATTCATGGTGTTAAGAGAGGTGTCGAACTTATTCATGGTGTTAAGAGAGGTGTCGAACTTATTCATGGTGTTAAGAGGTGTCGAACTTATTCATGGTGTTGTCGAAGAGGTGTCGACTTATTCTGTAGAGAGGTGTCGAACTTATTCATGGTGTTAAGAGAGGTGTCGAACTTATTCATGGTGTTAAGAGAGGTGTCGAACTTATTCATGGTGTTATGGTGTTAGAGAGGTGTCGAACTTATTCATGGTGTTAAAAGAGGTGTTGAACTTATTCATGGTGATAAGAGAGGTGTCGAACTTATTCATGGTGTTAGAGAGGTGTCGAACTTATTCATGGTGTTAAGAGAGGTGTCGAACTTATTCATGGTGATAAGAGAGGTGTCGAACTTATTCATGGTGTTAAGAGGGGTGTCGAACTTATTCATGGTGTTAAGAGAGGTGTCGAACTTATTCATGGTGATAAGAGAGGTGTCGAACCCATTCTCCTGGTTATGTGGGTCACCCTTTAGAGGATATTATCTTCGTATGGTAATGGGTAAAACATGGGGCGAATGGGTTACTGATTACTCCGGGAATTGGTTTATGATCTATGGGTTACTGATGCCCCCACGAGACAATACTGGAGACCCCATGACTTATTTAATCTCCCCATTATTAATATCTTACCGTTCATGAGGTAATATTTGATCCCCCCATTAAGAAAACAATCAGTATCTAAGGGAAGTCTGACACCCATTATCCATTACCATGTGTCCCCCTTAACCCCATAAAGCGGTCAGAGGATATGAGTGACACCCCATGAGATAATATTTTCTACCCATGATAAATATAACGCCCCATGAGTCAATACTTTCTCCCCATCAAAAAATATAACACCCCATTAACTAAAACGTTCTCCCCATGAAAAAATAACACCCCATAAATCAAGACTTTCTCCCCACAAAGAAATTATACAGCAGTCTTTTCAGGTTTGACCCCCACCATCTTTGTCATGGGTTCCCTATTGTAGTACTCAATCATCCCCCATACAGAGGCGTGGTGGGGGGAGGTGGAAGGTGGGGGGGAGGAGGTTATGCCCCCCCCCATAAACCAATCCCTCAGGACCATTCACGCCCACCCAATGATTTCATCACCCAATTCCTCACCGTCCAGGAAGGTTCCAACCTTCCCTTTCTCGATCTTACCCCTAACGCCCTCCCCTCCTCCTTCACCCCAGCCTTCCCTCCTTCCTTGGTCCTCCTTCATCCTCCCACATATTCCTACGGCTGACCATACAGTACATCATCATCACCACCAGTAACATTATCACCATTATCCTCATCATATCAAATCAAACTAAACGCCCTGAGTATGTGCTCTCACTTAAGGTCGAACACGCGATACATCCCCGAGTGCCCTCAGTACAAGGTTAAGATATAATCGGATTAAGAAAGTCATCCAATTTTTCAAGGTCTGTCAATCGCACGAAAAACCCGACTGTCTTTGCTTAAGCCGAGTGGATACAATACTTGTGTCGATTCTTAAGGTCCATTGGTTCACGCTCGGCGCAACACCAGTCAATCCAACTGTAAATAGGTACCTGACTTTACAGCTGGGGAAGTGAAGGCGGTAGAGTACAGTGCCGGCCATAAACCACCTTGTGTAGGAATTGCCAGACCCATGGGACCTAATTTCCCTTCATGACATAAAATATACAGGTATTTATTTGTAGGCTTCAACTGACATTTGACCATTTCTTAAAAAAAATACCGGAATGTTTTATCTATATATAATAAAATACCTGACATTCCAGACACCAGCATTTACCCGGTATTTACACAACCTTGGCTTCAGGGAATCATCACACACACACAGCTCTCTGGATAATTAAATTCACGGTTAGACGCCTTCAGGATGCACCCGCCTCTACTACAACTGTCTTCAGCGCCTCCTACTGTGTACCTGGGCAACTCTTCGTCAGGTGAACACTTAAGAGACTGGCGAGGACTGTGCGTAATGACCTCGAGATGACTGTTTATGAGAACCCCCCCCTGTTGTAAAGGACCCCACCCCAACTTAACCTAACCCAACCCAACACCACTCTGCTTCCTCCCCTTCCCTGTCTACCATCTCCCCCTGTCTTCCTCCCCACCCCCCTGTCTTTCTCCCCTCTCCCTGTTTCCTCCCCCACTCCCCCCAATCCCTACCTCCCCCTGCCACCTTCCCACTAGCTCACCCAAGTACAGACAGATAACAAACTAAATGACACCAAAACAACACAGAGACTCTACCGTAACTTGATATGTTAACTCCATACTGACTAAACAGAGAACCTTGGTATATAAAGAACCAATTTTACTGATACATTTTTTTTCAAGTGAGTGTTAATGTTCAGTATCCCATTAAGCTTTCTCCTGGCCTTTCTATTAACTTTCTCTTTCTTACTTTCTCCCCCCCCCCCACAAGGAAAAAGTTAAAGATGGTCTTGATTGTTCTCATTCTGGTGAAAAATCCATAATGTTCTTTGCTGGGGAAGTTGGCTATTGGGGGAGGTGAAATATTGCAACATTGATATGCAAATGATGCCTCTGATAGCTAGTGGGGCCTCGCAAGTGAAGTCTGATCCGGCCAAGACGCTACTGTATCGAGCCTAACTATACTGTGTAGATTTTTTTTCACTGGTAAATGAATGATGTAATAAAGAAATAAAGTAATACAGTAAATATAAATAAACAAATAAGTGAATAAATAGCTATTGTTACAATTAAATTCAATCTCACACACACACACACACACACACACACACACACTCAACCTTAAATACACACGAAACCTCACCAAACACAATTAATTTTACCCCCCCCTGAAAAAAAACACGAATATTTACGAATATTTACCCCAAAATACGTACGAATATTTACCTTAAAATACGTACGAATATTTACCCTAAAATACGTACGAATAGTTACCCCAAAATACGTACGAATATTTACCCTAAAATACGTACGAAAAGTTACCCCAAAATACGTACGAATAGTTACCCCAAAATACGTACAAATATTTACCCCAAAATACGTAAGAATAGTTACCCCAAAATACGTAAGAATAGTTACCCCAAAATACGTACCAAAACCTGCTAAGTACAAGAGGAAGCTGACGTAACTACCCGGAACACAGTTGACATACCTGTTGGTGAGAAAAAAATATTAATATAAATTACAAATAAATACAAAATATTACACTTGAATTACTGAAGACCACAAATACTTATACATTACAATACTCAAGTACAAAAGTATATAAACACATATTAGATTTACGTATAGAATATAAACATGTGGTTTGTTATATCTTGTACAGTAATATATGAACTTCACTACATCAAATTATTGTGATATATGAATTTGACTATATTAAATTACATAGTCACATATGAACGTCACATTATCATCTGGTACATGCATAGTCACATATGAACGTCACACTATCATCTGGCACATGCATAAAGTCACATATGAACGTCACACTATCATCTTGTACATGCATAGTCACATATGAACGTCACACTATCATCTTGTACATGCATAAAGTCACATATGAACGGCACACTATCATCTGGTACATGCATAGTCACATATGAACGGCACACTATCATCTGGTACATGCATAAAGTCACATATGAACGTCAATCACCACGAGACTATAAACAACATAACCACCTTTAGAAATTAGTGAACCAGGTGACCCTATAACAACAATCACTCTCTCATTGTGGTGATTTCAGACAGACCAACACAGACAGACAAACACAGACAGACAAACACAGACAGACATTGAGACAGGAAACGAAGACAGTTATCAGGATTCATCTCAGAGGTGAACAACCTGACGCGGTAGTTTTATCTCGGCTTCTCTGTGTCTGTCTACCTCAGCGCTCCTAGTTCCTCCTCATTGTTTTCTCCTTGTGTGTAGGGGGTGAGGTGGGGACTAGAGGATGGGGGGAGGGCAGGATAAGAACAGGGAAAGGGGTGGAGGGAAAGTGAAGGGGGAGGGGGAGGATTAATGGGAAGATGGGAAAGAAAAGTGAGAAAGAAGAATGAAGAGAAGTAGGGGTAGGGAGATGGAAAGAAAAATGAGGAGGGGAATGAAGAAAAGGGAGAAAACGAATGGGGAGGGTGGCAGGAAAGGGAGAGAAGAGGAAGTGGAAAGAGGGAGAAGAGGATGTGGGAAGGAGGAAGATAAGGAGGGAAGTACATATCAAGTTAGGTTAGGCTATATTAAGGTAGGATAGGATAGGTTACGTTAAATAAAGTTAGGTTAGGTTAAGTTAGGTTCGGTTAGGTCCCTGTACAATCTGTATTAGACGCATCAACCAGTCCCGTCAGTCTGTTACTGTAAGACCTAACCACAGTATAAACGTGTCTCTGTAGGTCACTTGTATACCTAACGGTGTGAGTCAGTCACTGTACTGTACCTTGTTAACACGAGGGTGTGTGAGAGTTATCAGAAGGTATCAAATAACATCTACATACAGGTATACTGTGCCGTGTAGGTGACCTTAACACAACCATGACTAATAATAGTTAAAACATTTTCACAATTTGTCAACAACAATTACTACAATAGAGGTAAATAGATCAATAACAAACAAAATACACAACAATAAAGGAAAACGGCACAGATTATACCGCCATTAATAGGATCAAGCTAGCTCTCTCTCTCTCTCTCTCTCTCTCTCTCTCTCTCTCTCTCTCTCTCTCTCTCTCTCTCTCTCTCTCTATATATATATATATATATATATATATATATATATATATATATATATATATATATATACACACAGTATGTATAAAGTATTATTGACAGTGGGATACACCACACACTGCATTGCATTCAGTGTCATGTACCGGTACACAAGGAGACACTGCACTCGCCGGCCTTCACTTCCACAATTGTAAATTTAGGCAGCCATTTACGGCTGTGTGAAGTGCACCAGGGATCGAACAAGCAAGCACTTAGAAACGAAACGTGCGCTGTATCTACTCGGCCCCATCACCAATCAGAACGCTCGAAAAGAATTTATACCAAGCTCCAGTATATTCAGGTCAATCACCTTAGCACCTAAAACCACTACCCCTTATAGCCCTCAAATAAGGAGAAAGGGGTCCTAATAATAGCACCCGCCCGAGACATCATTCCTAACACCCATTTATTAAATTCCATGGAAATCCGTCTATATTTGTCGGAGCTCCCGTGTTCACAACTAGTTTACATGCACGTGTGTCGGAGCTCCCGTGTTCACAACTAGTTTACATGCACGTGTGTCGGAGCTCCCGTGTTCACAACTAGTTTACATGCACGTGTGGACACCACTTCCAGGTCACCGCCCACAACACGGCGGTGACAATAAAAACAGACATCATGATTCCATTTTTCACACTACAGGACACAAGTTACTGCCAGCCACCTGTTCTCTATCTTACTCAAGGTCCATTACCTGAAGATTAGACATTCTAGTTTATTTCACCTGATGATTTATAACCAAATGCTAATCTAATCTAACCTAACCAAATGCTACTTAGGGGGTTAGGTTAGGGTAGGTTAGGTTAGGTTATGTTAGGAAGAAAAGAGAAGGCGAAGGAGGAAAAGGAAAAGAGGGCAAAAGAGGAAGGAAAGAACAGAGAAAGGAAGAGGAAGAAAAGACGGAAACCGAAAGAAGAGGAGGAAGCAAAGAAGAGGACAAGAGAGAGGAAGAAAAGAGGAAGTACAGAAAGCGAACGAGGAAGAGGAAGAAAATAGAAAGTGAAAGGCAAAGATGTAGACGAGAGGATTAGGATGTAAAACAGATTAAGAGAAAAGAAAAGACACAAACATACGAAAGAGGAAGAGAAAGAGACAATAAAAAAAGCTATAATAACAAGAAGACAAACAGTACAATAGGAAAAAAAACAAGGGAAAGGACAAAAGAAAAATACTTAAAGAAAAAAGGAAGAAAGACAAAAGAATAAAAACAAATGACAAGGAAAAACAAAGTAAAGATTAAGAGAAAAGAACAAAACAAAACAAAATAGAACAAAACTAAAGGTGTATACGGAGGAAGAGGAAACGAAAACAAAGGAAGAGAAGAAACGAGTCAGAGAGAAAAGGAGAAGGAGGGAGAGAGGGAAATACTGAAAGCGAGAGAATGAAAAGACAACACAGGAATGAATAAAAGAGGGTATGAGAGGGAGAGTTTTGGACATAAAAGGTGAAGAAGTAAAATAAAAAAGAAGAAATGCAGTATTAAAGAAGAGAGGCAAAAAGGAAGTGATGTTGAAAAGTGCAATTGCAGGAAGATGTGCTTGCAAAGTGAGGGACAACACGCCTCCTTACACAATTAACTTTGGCCCTTCAGTCGATGTGTAGACGTAACCACGAAAATAAACACAAAGTTGTCGATAAAATAATAATAATAATAATAATAATAATAATAATAATAATAATAATAATAATAATAATAATAATAATAAAAATAATAATAATACGTGAATATGAAAACACGACACAGAAGAAAAGAGAAGCAAATGAAGGAAGAAGATATAGAGAAAAAAACAGAAAGAACAAACAATAAACAAAACAAGACGAAGAAAGAAAAAACATCAAAAACAAAATGATTAAAGAAACAAAAAAAAAAGGAAAAAAACAAGATGAAATTTGAGAAAAAATCTTTAGCTCAGGTAAGAAGGAAAGGAGAAGTGACAACAGCCCTCACAAGACAAGAAGCCAAGGTCCTTCTTTACCAGTTTAGAGGCGCAGTTTGCCGAGATCTTGTGCCCTGACACCTTGTTGTAAAGGATGGCTTCATTGTAAACAAACTTCTCAAGGAACCAAGATGGTGGAGGAGGAGGTAAAGTCCTGACCAGTGTTATATTTGTGTTGTATTTATGCCAGATGCTAAAGCTCCCTTAAGATGATACTAAAAGCTCCCTTGAGTACGATGCTAACACACAACTATAGATCACGTAGACAATTTTCCTTCTACACACACACACACACACACACACACACACACACACACACACACCTCTAACCAAAAAATAAAAAAAAAACTCTCGCACAAAATCAACCAGCCAAAAATTACACGAACATTCGACGTAAAACTTTGACAAAATAAGCAGCCACTCTCACCCTTTGGATCGCTTCTTGCGTCCAAACAAGAGCGACCGAGAACTGTTTATTGGGTGAGATAAAGGTGCACTGAATACACCTGAAATACAACCAGGTAAGGTAAGGTAAGGTTAGAGTTTTACTTGCATTAGAGGTTAAATAATAACAATAACAAGACAGCGCATGACAGGCATTAGGTCCAACAAATGGCCCCGTAGTGAATGGCCCAACTGGTCCATCCCCTGGTAAATGGCCATGTGTCAGTGAAGACTGGGACAGCAGCGATAAGCATCACATCTATCTAGGCTAACAGATCTGGAACCTAACCTACCCTAAATCTGGTCCACTTTTCTTCTGCTCAGTGTTGATATTTTACCATTGACTGTGATAACTGCCTGGGAAGCTGAAGTTCTTTTTCCAGCGATGATGATGATGATGATGATGATGATGATGATGATGATGATCGTTATTATTTGGTTGTTGGAGATTATTGTTGTGATGGTGGTTGTTGGAGATGATTGTTGTGATGGGGGTGTGTGGTGGATGAGGGTTGTGATGGTGGTTGTACAGTTTTGATGAGAGCTGAAATTTAGTATGAGGTGCAGGTGATCTTGAGGGGATAGTTCAGTGCACTATCTTGCTCTTATCTTCACAGTGCGGTTGCCCCAACCTGGGCAAGTCCCTTGCACAGGTTGAAAAGGGGCCCAACGAATCCTGGTCTGGCCCTGAGTTGACGTGACAGACAGATCCGACGAGAGAGAGAGGACAAGGCACACCAAACGGATTACTTATAATGACAAGATAGATACAAGGCCGCTACTATGCCCCTCCCCCACCAGCTGACTTCTACAACCTGGCCAAGATATTGTCAGGTGTTCTCTAGGCGTCAGGAGACCAATGAAAGATGCTGATACTGTAAGAAGACTTTTGGAGATGTTGTGGATATCAGGAAGAGGAGGAGGAGAAGGAGAAGAAGAAGAAGAAGAAGAAGGAGAAGGAGAAGGAGAAGGAGAAGAAGAAAAATATAATAAATAATAGGA